ATTTACAAACCGCCGCCATATACCTGGAATATTGCTGAGTGCGGCATAAAACAAAACTCACAGCAACAGAGGGTGCTCAATGAAGTTCCTTGTGTGCATGTACCTTAATGCTCTTATTATAAAATATCGTGTTTAGCACATTTCGATCGAGATTTACAAAGTTTCTAATATACAAAGTAAGCTAATAGATTCGTTTTCATGTTGTAGCTATTTATATTGTACTGAAATGTAACTAACCTGTAAGGGCCTCTGATTAAACCAGTCGATGATCTACAGTGGCTTGTGTGCTGTGCTGGTGAAGTGCTGAGTATTAGAATTTTACACAAGGACAATCAGACATAAGCTGTCTTAAACAAAGGAGTGACCCAAGCTGCCAATCCTACCCCACAGCTACTCAGTGGCAGTTGAATAATACCAAAGTTGAATTAAAGCTAAGTACATAAGCTGTACGATCATTTTCAGTACATCACAGTAAAAAGTTAATACACTATTTATTTTTAAATTTATATATATACAAATACATTTACGTGTTTTCCAAAACACAGGTGTCAAAACGCATGCAAAAAGTGAGTAAGTTCATTGTGCACAAAGTGCACGTGCCACGCGCGATACGTGACATCAAATTCTTAACTACGTTTTTATGGTTATTTTTATGACTTGTCAGATATCTTTATTTTATGCAATTTTATGTTATGCACAATTTTTTCCTTGAGTATATATAGTACCGACAAACTGTAGAGGCAAGAATTTTATGGATGTCAACGTCTTTATTGTGACCCTTCACAATAAAGAAGTTGACATCCATAAAAATCTTGTCTTTATGTGTATCACTTCTAAATGCCCTTCAAAGACTCGACAAACAGTAGGTTAATTTACAATATATATGTAAGTTATCGTTCAAGCAGACTCGACAAACAGTGCGTACATTTACAATAATGTGGCATTATGGATGTTCACACAGAATTCAAACTGTTTGCGTCTGCAGGGAACTTATGATACTTAATGTAATCTGGCTAAGCACACCCTTAAAAATATAATCTGAAGTACAGACCCTGAAACAAATATGCCCAATACAGCCCATGCAAGTCTAGAATATGTGGCAAGTCCAGATTCCCATGGTAGTTTCAGGTTTTCATTTCTCAGAATGAAGAAAGTCTATGGGCTTATTCTTAGTTATTTTATTAACATAATTTAGGAACCGTTTGTTCACTAAGATATGTTATTTTCAGAGAATAGATGTTACTCCAACGCTTAAAGAGTGCCTCCGATACAATATGCTGAACAGACAAAACGGCGACTTGTTTGCAGATGAGATATCACAATGTCAAGTTGCCCGAATGTTTGGCAAATGGTGTTATTTATCGACTGTTAGACAAGTATCCTGAAAGAGTTGTACAAAGCGATCTTAGTGCTAAGGTGATCGTAACTCCCATACCATAACATAGGCCTACGACTGTCATAGCGCTAAGGTGATCGTAACTCCCATACCATAACATAGGCCTACGACTGTCATAGCGCTAAGGTGATCGTAACTCTCATACCATAACATAGGCCTACGACTGTCATAGCGCTAAGGTGATCGTAACTCCCATACCTTAACATAGGCCTACGACTGTCATAGCGCTAAGGTGATCGTAACTCTCATACCATAACATAGGCCTACGACTGTCATAGCGCTAAGGTGATCATAACTCCCATACCTTAACATAGGCCTACGACTGTCATAGCGCTAAGGTGATCGTAACTCCCATACCTTAACATAGGCCTACGACTGTCATAGCGGTAAGGTGATCGTAACTCCCATACCTTAACATAGGCCTACGACTGTCATAGCGGTAAGGTGATCGTAACTCCCATACCTTAACATAGGCCTACGACTGTCATAGCGCTAAGGTGATCGTAACTCCCATACCTTAACATAGGCCTACGACTGTCATAGCGCTAAGGTGATCATAACTCCCATACCTTAACATAGGCCTACGGCTGTCATAGCGCTAAGGTGATCGTAACTCCCATACCTTAACATAGGCCTACGGCTGTCATAGCGGTAAGGTGATCATAACTCCCATACCTTAACATAGGCCTACGACTGTCATAGCGCTAAGGTGATCGTAACTCCCATACCTTAACATAGGCCTACGACTGTCATAGCGCTAAGGTGATCGTAACTCCCATACCTTAACATAGGCCTACGACTGTCATAGCGCTAAGGTGATCGTAACTCCCATACCTTAACATAGGCCTACGGCTGTCATAGCGCTAAGGTGATCGTAACTCTCATACCTTAACACAGGCCTACGGCTGTCATAGCGGTAAGGTGATCGTAACTCCCATACCTTAACATAGGCCTACGACTGTCATAGCGCTAAGGTGATCGTAACTCCCATACCTTAACATAGGCCTACGGCTGTCATAGCGCTAAGGTGATCGTAACTCCCATACCTTAACATAGGCCTACGACTGTCATAGCGCTAAGGTTGCTTTGTACAACGGCGCCCAGGACATGGCAGACCTTAAAAAACCCGAGACAAGACCCATTCTATTGCTTCCAGTGCCCTACAGAGAAGTGTCTGCTCCTTTTATCAAAAACTATTTCCGTATAAGGACAGGAAAGCGATATCCTAAAACCCGGCTCAATACGACTCACCTGAAAGCATAGCGTCCTGTGTTGGTTGACCCCAACATCTTGATTACTATAGCCTGCAAAGACTGACTGACTGAGTTTGGTTTTACGCCGCTTTTAGCAATATTCCAGCAACATCACGGCGGGGGACATCAGATATGGGCTTCACATTGTACCCATGTGGGGATTCGAACCCGGGTCTTCGGCGTGACGAGCCAACGCTTTAACCACTAGGCTACCCCACCGCCCCATAGCCTGCAAAGAGGGGGGCGGGCTACGCAACGCCTGGTAAGAACTTTGCGTCATTTACATTTACAGTGGAATCAAGGTTTTGCCTCTGATATAACCGATGGAACAAACACCCCACAAAACACACAAACTCCCGTTGTTGACGACTTCGCACGAACGATATGCCAGCGCAACAGCTCCGGAGTCTGGACCTGATCGTTATTTGATCAGTAATGGTGTTGGAGCGCCAACAGACATGGCTAGCGAGCTGATTTGGTTAGTGTGAATGGACATTTGACTGGCCGACGATGTCTACGAGGTGTTGTCAAGTCGTTGCTCCAATCACTAGAAATATAGGCAATATTATTGAACAGCAAGAATTCAAGTCCCGATCGCACCCAGGTGGTCGCGGGTTATCTCCGGCTAGAATACGTATGGATCTGATTTGGATTGGGTTTGAGGTATCTCCAGCATCTGTTGGATGTATTCGGTGGAGTGTCTGCGCCACATATACAACACCAGCCAACATGGCCCGTGGTAATACCAAGGCTAATCAACGAATGCGAAGGCTAATCAACTATGAGTGAGTGAGATGCTGCTTTTAGCAATATTCCAACAATACCACGGCAGGGGACACCAGAAATGAGCTTCACACATTGCAACCATGTGGCTAAACGAACCCGGGGTGACGAGCGAACGCTTTAACCACGAACCCTAACCCCCTGTTAATCAACGGTATGCCAGCAAGGTGTCATTCATGTATCGCTAAACTGGGTGGCACGCCCGAAAATAATTTGACAGAAATTATACTTTCACTATCTTACCTATCGTATCCAACGAGTTCCCTTGTTTTGTAAGAAATATGCACGTTTACTATGGGTGATACATCTCATAAGGTACCAGTGGCTCTGTAATATAAAGTGCCGATAATTCGATATGAAGAGTTGCGTCCCTTGGGCGAGCCAGAAGCCTATGACAGTGGGTTTGAATCACGGTTTCGCCCTTATCATGGTAACTGGTTTGTCAGCACCATGTCTGTGCTCGTGGGTTTCACCAAAATGGTAAACGACTGAGGCCTTCATAACTTCCGACATTCCTCCCCCATTAAGCAGACCCGCCGTGATAAAACTAGATTGTTCAACAAGACCCTATCCATCCGCTCACATCATAGATTGACGCGTATCTTACCTGTACGAGAGTGGACCATTGTGGGTGATAAACAAACAACATAGTAGAATTAGTACCAAAATAATTGCGAGCGAATGTCGGTGGTTCCATCCACTCTCCGTCTCCCACCAGAAGACCTTAAAAGGAGGTACCTGTTGTTACCCTGCCTTGTGCTTGGCACTAAGCAACCCGTGAAGATTGGGCTAGAATTGATCTTCAGTAACCCATAGCTTGTCGTAAGAGGCGAGTAACGGCATCGGGCGATCGTGTTCGCTGACTTGGTTGGCTTGTCATTATATCCCAGTTGCGTAGATCGATGCTCATGCTGTTGATCACTGGATTGTCCCGTCCAGGATCGATTATTTTCAGACCGAAGCCATTTAGCTGGAATATTGCTGAGTGCGGCGTAAAACTAAACTCACCCACTCACCGCTGTCAAAATACTGTCTGACAAGGGTATCAGTGTTAAACTGCGACATCGTGTCAGGACTAATGCAAGCGTGCACGCAATACGCACGCACGTACACACATATACACACATGCTTGCAGTCGTTTTATTAGTGAAATATGTTTCGGGGCGACGTTAAACCCTATTTCACATCACTAAATATGCATAACAAAATAAAAGATAGATAAAAATATGTTTTATCTTTAAAAAAATATTTACAGACAAGTATGGTAAAACATTTTCATGGGGCTGTGGACAACGTACATTTAATTAATGGATGAAATATCAGTTTTTCGTTTTTAATACGCAAAAATATTTTCATTTGATCCATACACAGCCATGCTCTGGGAAATGCGATGACAGAACTTGAATGGTGTTCAAAGTGGCGTTAAACTCACTCACTCACTGAATCCGTGAAGATCCGGGTTAGAATTGATCTTCAGTAACCCATGCTTGTCGTAAGAGGCGACTAACGTGATCGGGCGATCGTGCTCGCTGACTTGGTTGACAGAGCATAGATCGATGATCATGCTGTTGATCACAGGGTTGTCTGGTCCAGACTGGATTATTTAGAGACCGCCATATAGCTGGAATATTGCTGTGTGCAGCGTTAAACAACATACAAACAAACAAATACTCGCTGGATGTAGAAGTTCAACATATGTTCCATGGACAAAGCCCACCTTTCGTTCTGGAAAGTGAAATCAGTGATGAATATGCATTTGAATGAATGACTGTCTGTTTTCTTCGCCTGTCTGTTTACTTCTTCTGTCTGTTGAGTCTCTCCGGCAATATCAGACACATGAGTATCGTTATCCAGAACACCACCCCGAAGAGAAAGAAGGCAAAGCTGACATCTAATGGCGGACCAGATCCACGACTTACTGTCCAGGCAAAGACACTTCCACCCATAGCTGGCGCCAGGGTCCTGAAATACACCAAATGTGGGGGGATATGGCAATTGTTTGTTATAATATCAGGGGTGGAAATAACCCATTGCCCGACGCCCGAGTCCAGTGTTTTTTTTCTGTCGGGCAAGCAAATTTGTATATCACACTGTACCGGTGTCCAGTTGATATTCCCATGTTAATTATGCTGTTTATTTAAAAATTCAACAAGAAAATGGCCGTATAGTGGAAAAATTATCAGGGCAAGTGATTTTACATGTGCCACTGTACAGGAGTACAGTAGCAATTTTAAAGTTATTTCCACCCCTGTATATGACATATCAATCAGTCCTGTGCAACAGTTTTTGTGCAATCTTGAAGTAATCCTTTCTACTGATCAGTTGAGATATCATTTTCCATGACAATACTGCAAAACAAATAATATTGTCCAACAAAATCTGAAATAATTACTCGGAGACCTTTTCAGTTTTTCTGACCAGACTAGCTATTCTCGAAACGTTCGCAGCCCTACGAACTTGTTAAGCCCATTCTTAACATATTGGCTACGATCAAACTTAAGAATTCTTGGGGCTACGAACGTTTCGAGAATAAGGGCCCTTTTTAAATATCACATGTTAAAAACAAAGCTTTAGAGGTCCGTCCTTCTGATCTTAACTTTTACAATCTAGATTTAAATGTGACGGACTACATAACCTTTCATGAGTTCAAGGTCAGGCCGACGTGACGGAACCTTACAGTGAGGCATATCAACCTGCCTATTTAATTCACGACCAAAAGTGACGGACAACTAACCTCTATTTTGCTATGAAGGCATTGCCATGTGACCGAACCTGATCTTGACGTCTACAGATTGTATAAATCGCAACGGGCTAACAGACAATTGTATGTATGACAACTTATTTCACTTCTTGAGTGCGGCGTTTTAGTGTCGCGATCAAACAAGTTGTTATCCATTTGTAATAATTTGTCATTATTCTTTTCCCAACTTGTAAAATGTCACTCAAAGAAGTCATCCGCGGGCTAACTGATCTTTCAATAGCTCTGAATGTCAGGCTGATGTGGAGGATCCTCACCATGACGCATACCATCTAGATTGTTTAAATCAATTACAGTGACGGACAAACTGACCTTGCAATAGCTGTGAAGGTCATACCAATGCCGTTGACGGCACCAGCGTTGTCGGGTGTGACTGAGTTGTTGATGAAGAGGGCGGTGGCGGAGAAGCAGCAGCTGGCACAAAGCCTCTCCGGGATGAGGATGAGGAGCATCACTGGCCACAGCACTGTAGGCCTGGAAACAGAGGCCTGACTTAACGACTGGGTTTTACCTTCATTTGAACACTGTTTCAGTTACATAACAGCCTATCAGCTGTATGATGGTTAAATGCATGACACTTTTTATGAATAACAACTTATTTAAAAAAACTTCTAGGAGATATCGTTTTGACAGTAGATTTTGTACAATGCCCTGACAATGCTATGACGCCCTGAACTTGATGACGTCACAATGCTATGACATCGCTGCACTGCAAGTCTAATGGCAGTACCGTATTATGAGATGTGCATCTCGGCAAGCCTCGGATATTTGTAACTTTATCAACTCGTGGTGATATATTTGATATCAAAAGACACTCGGTGAGATTCTCTATATATTCCGTGGCATGATGTTTTAGAGCTGCTTCTTGCACTTGGCTGTGGGGTAGCCTAGTGGTTAAAGCGATCTCTCTTCGGGGTGATCTGAAGACCCGGGTTCGATTCTCCACATGGGTACAATGCGTGAAGCCCCTCTTCTGGTGACCCCCGCCGTGATATTGCTGGTGAACCGATATCATTCATGTTTCAGACGTTTACAATTTTGGTGAACTCAACGATCAAGGGTATGGGGCTGACAGACCAACAAACATATACAGGGAGAATAAGGGATTCGAACCCAGGATCACAGGTTTCTGACCCTCCTAATGGGAACATTCTGAACATACTGACAAACCTAATAACATCATCAGAAGCACATGTGGTCAGTGGTTTCAACAAAATCGGTAACGTCCTTCCTCGTTTCTGGTTTTGTCCCTACATTGTAACAACGCACAACATCACTGAAACTTAGTTCCAGCTTAAATAATTCACAGAGAAATCATAAGAAAGTTATTCATATGTATACCTCTGGACGCCTCAAACTAACATCGGGTATCATTCGTGACTCACTCGTACTTTGAGGTTACGAGAAGGGGTGAGGAATGATCGGGTAGTGTTTCTTAATGAGACCACCTCCATCACATTGTGCCAAAGATGTTAATTTTCTATACCATGTGCATATATATACTCGCCCGAAAAAGAAAGTGTGCATTTAAAATATTATTATATTTCAAAAAGTAAACATCAGAGGAGCACGAAATTCAAACCTAGAGATACCTGAGCGCTATGGAACAGAGAGGTTCACGTGTTAACGAATTGTACGAGACACTGGATCACGTGATGCACGTGAAGAAGAAGGCATGCTGTTGCCTGTAAGAAGTGTAAAATGCATGCAAAAGTGCAAATGATATGCCTACTTAAAGCCCACACATGGCCAATCCAAACGTACACATTGCCAACCTAATATCGCAAAGCGGCCCGCCACAAAGAAATGCCAAAAATAACAACAGGTGAACGACACATAGCCCTGGGTATGCTACGGTCTGGTTCTACCCAGCGGGAGGTTGCTCAACACTTTAATTGTCACCGTAACATCATATCAGCATTAGTCCGTCGATATGATCAACAAAACGACGTCAGAGATCGCCCACGTTCAGGGAGACCAAGAGTTAGGACCCCTGTGCAAGATTCGACTGTTCATCTGCGTAATCGGTGTCAACAAGCAACAACAACAGCCCGTAGCATCCCCAACTGCAGACGGATTCATCCTCCAACCGTCATCAACCGCCTTCGAAGTTACGGCTTACGTGCAAGGAGACCTGCAATTCGTCCCCTTATGATGTTACATCACCGCCGGGCACGGATACAATGGTGCAGACGACATCTCAGACATCCCGTTTTGGTGGAGACGTGTGATGTCCACATACAGCCCGTGTTGTGCAACAATGTTTCCAGCAACAACAACTGGTTGTGTTGCCCAAGCCAGCAGTATCACAGATCTTTCGCCAGTTGAGCAAATTGAGCGCCTTCGACGTCTGCCAAATCTCCCCGCAACGCTTCATGATATCCAAGTAGCGCTTGTCCACATATTGAATAACATTCTCCAGGTATTTCACGCTCGACTAATCTCATCCATGAGGCGTCGTTGTACAGCTCTGTTGCAGTTGTGACTTTCTGTTTTTACCCTTTCAACTTGTGGACCCCTTTACGTCCCTACGGTACAATAAAAACATTTCACTGCGTTCATGTGTGTAGACAAATGCATTTTGTTTTATGCAATACCATTGCCATTGGATGAATTAGTTATGTCATTTATCTATGAGCCTTTTTTGCGATGCACAGTTTCTTTTTTGGGTTAGCATATATGCTGACGCGATGTTAAACCCAGTCTCACCCCGTTACGCCTCACCTGTAAATGGGTGGACCTATTCTAATGGATAAGGGGAAGGCCCAGAGTACATTGGAAGCAGGGTGTGTTTGTAGGAACTGTGACCCACCTGTCAGACAGCAGATGGAGAACTGGACATGCCGTCACCGACACCATCATGATGAAGGCACAAATCATGTAGGTCTGAAACAGGATTTACAAAATTAAATGCGAGTCACTGCTTTCTCACCAATACCTGTGGAGATTCGGAGTAATGTGGACGGGTGTGATTAGAGGAGGCTGGTGACGAGTGATTACAGTGAGAGAAGTTGACGAATGCTGACAGAGAGTGTTGTTGAGCGATGATGAAAATGAATGTTGTTGCAGAAAGACTCGTACCTGAAGAATGTTCTTGACGAATGTACCTCGGGAATGTTCTCGACTTAAGTTCTTGGTGAATGTTCTTGACGAATGTGATTAGTGAATGTTCTTGACGAATGTACCTGGTGAATTTCCATGACGAATGTACCTAGTGAATATTCTTGACGAAAGTACCTAGTTAATGTTCTTGACGAATGTACCTAGTTAATGTTCTTGACGAATGTACCTAGTTAATGTTCTTGACGAATGTACCTAGTTAATGTTCTTGACGAATGTACCTAGTTAATGTTCTTGACGAAAGTACCTAGTTAATGTTCTTGACGAATGTACCTAGTTAATGTTCTTGACGAATGTACCTAGTTAATGTTCTTGACGAATGTACCTAGTTAATGTTCTTGACGAATGTACCTAGGGAATATTCTTTACGAATGTACCTAGTTAATGTTCTTTACGAATGTACCTAGGGAATATTCTTGACGAATGTACCTAGTTAATGTTCTTGACGAATGTACCTAGGGAATGTTCTTGACGAATGTACCTAGGGAATGTTCTTGACGAATGTACCTAGTTAATGTTCTTGACGAATGTACCTAGTTAATATTCTTGACGAATGTACCTAGGGAATATTCTTGACGAATGTACCTAGTTAATGTTCTTGACGAATGTACCTAGTTAATGTTCTTGACGAATGTACCTAGGGAATATTCTTGACGAATGTACCTAGTTAATATTCTTGACGAATGTACCTAGGGAATATTCTTGACGAATGTACCTAGTTAATGTTCTTGACGAATGTACCTAGGGAATATTCTTGACGAATGTACCTAGAGAATGTTCTTGACGAATGTACCTGGTGAATGTTCTTGACGAATGTACCTAGTAAATATTCTTGACGAATGTACCTAGTCAGTGTTCTTGACGAATGCACCTAGTTAATGTTCTTGACGAATGTACCTAGGGAATGTTCTTGACGAATGTACCTAGGGAATATTCTTGACGAATGTACTTAGTTAATGTTCTTGACGAATGTACCTAGTTAATGTTCTTGACGAAAGTACCTAGTTAATGTTCTTGACGAAAGTACCTAGTTAATATTCTCGACGAATGTACCTAGGGAATATTCTTGACGAATGTACCTAGTTAATGTTCTTTACGAATGTACCTAGGGAATATTCTTGACGAATGTACCTAGTTAATGTTCTTGACGAATGTACCTAGTTAATGTTCTTGACGAATGTACCTAGGGAATGTTCTTGACGAATGTACCTAGGGAATGTTCTTGACGAATGTACCTAGTTAATGTTCTTGACGAATGTACCTAGTTAATGTTCTTTACGAATGTACCTAGTCAGTGTTCTTGACGAATGTGCCTAGAAAATGTTCTTGACGAATGTACCTGGTGAATATTCTTGACGAATGTACCTAAGGAATATTCTTGACGAATGTACCTAGAGAATGTTCTTGACGAATGTACCTAGTTAATGTTCTTGACGAATGTACCTAGGGAATGTTCTTGACGAATGTACCTAGGGAATATTCTTGACGAATGTACCTAGGGAATATTCGTGACGAATGTACCTAGAGAATGTTCTTGACGAATGTACCTAGTTAATGTTCTTTACGAATGTACCTAGTCAGTGTTCTTGACGAATGTGCCTAGAAAATGTTCTTGACGAATGTACCTGGTGAATATTCTTGACGAATGTACCTAGGGAATATTCTTGACGAATGTACCTAGAGAATGTTCTTGACGAATGTACCTGGTGAATGTTCTTGACGAATGTACCTAGTAAATATTCTTGACGAATGTACCTAGTCAGTGTTCTTGACGAATGCACCTAGTTAATGTTCTTGACGAATGTACCTAGGGAATGTTCTTGACGAATGTACCTAGGGAATATTCTTGACGAATGTACCTAGGGAATATTCTTGACGAATGTACCTAGAGAATGTTCTTGACGAATGTACCTAGTTAATGTTCTTGACGAATGTACCTAGTCAGTGTTCTTGACGAATGTGCCTAGAAAATGTTCTTGACGAATGTACCTGGTGAATATTCTTGACGAATGTACCTAGGGAATATTCTTGACGAATGTACCTGGTGAATATTCTTGACGAATGTACCTAGGGAATATTCTTGACGAATGTACCTAGAGAATGTTCTTGACGAATGTACCTGGTGAATGTTCTTGACGAATGTACCTAGTAAATATTCTTGACGAATGTACCTAGTCAGTGTTCTTGACGAATGTGCCTAGAAAATGTTCTTGACGAATGTACCTAGAGAATGTTCTTGACGAATGTACCTGGTGATTGTTTTAGACGAATGTACCTAGTGACTGTTCTTGACGAATGGACCTGAGGTGAATGATGTTGATGATGAAAGAGGATGATGAATGTCTGATGATGAATGTCGATGATGAATGCTGTCAGGTAATGTTGTTGATTACATGTAACATTAACCACGAGGATTGACGAGAAGCTGGTCAGTTACCTTCTTTATGCCAAAGTTTCTCTCTAGAGTTGAGAAGATGAAGATAAGCAGCAACAACAACGGTATTCCCACCATGGACAGCACTGTCCCGATCTTGTCCGTGCTGAACCCCAGACCGTCTGTATCAAATATCAGCAAACATCAACACCAAAATAACTTGAAAATGTTTGTTTTGTTGTTTAACGCCGCACTCGGCAACTCTCCAGCTATATGGCGGGATTTGAAAATGACAACATCCATGACACTCATCCTTTGCTGTTACAAACAGACTCAACTAATCATATTATAAATGTAAATGCTACATTTGTGACATGTGTTCATTCACAAATGGACATTTTCCAGTTGTTATGGGGCTTAGAATACAGATACCGTATTTCGTCTAATAAGCGCCCTTGGCGCTTATTTTTTCAACGGACCTCCAGACCCGGCGCTTATTAGAGGCTCGGCGCTCATTAAAATATTCTGTATATTTAAAAGCGGGGATGAGTACATGAAGTTGTGATTTAAGGGACCATTCCTTAATATATTTATTTTCAGACCAAGGGAGAATACATTTGCGAAAAAATGCAAAGGTCTCTACCCGGCGGTTATTAGAGACCCGACACTTATTAGAGGCCCGATGCTTATTAGAGGCCTGGCGCTTATTTCTTAAAGCACTGCTTTATTCCCGGCGGTTATTAGAGGCCCGGCGCTTAATAGAGGATATACGGTACGTATGTACAGCAGTTGTCGACCAGAACAGTTGTTCCCGTCAAACAGAGGTTTCAAATGAATGGTAACATCACTTTTTCAGGGGGTTCATAATTAGATATAGTCGCTATGCCCTAATGTATGAAATACGCCCAAAACCCAGACAGACATCAGGGCTGGTAACTTCAAAATGTTACATTTATGGAACATGTTATCTAAAATGTTACCAGACCATCAGGCTGGCCAGCTGTAAATTTAGACCGTCCGTCAGAAATCTAGCCCGTCTCGGAAAGTCGGACGGGCCTTATTTCATACACTGGCTATGGATGAGATATTGTTTATGGAAAGGGCTTTGGTACTTGTGTGTACCAGTATAAGATTTAGATTGATCGATTGTAGCTGTGTCATGTCTGCTGAGTTCGGCAGATTCTTCTGTTTGTCAGCAATGAAATGTTCTCAGTAAGTTACCGAAATGGTCAGGAATTGGCTATGTAAAGAAATATAACAGCTTTTTGGCATACTTACCCAGACGAGTTTCAGTAGACGCCCATACGTTGAAGACGTCTTCAAAGCCAATGATGGCGAAGGAGAACACGGTGAAAAGAATAACTGACTGGCGGACATCGTTCTGTCTGAGGTAAAAAAATAACAGTTATTTTCTGTTTATGGACAGTGAAGTGAGTGAAAATGGTTTTAAGCAATATTCCAGCAATATCACGGTGGGGAAACCAGAAACGGGTTTCACATATTGTACCCATGTGGAGAATCGAACATGGTCTTCGGCGTGAGGAGCGAACGCTTTAACCACCAGACTACACCACCGCCCCTACAGTGACGTGACAACATTTAGGTCTGTTTATTGCAAGTGATGTGAATGAATATTGTTTCACGCCGCTTCCAGCACAATCCATTTGACAAAGTGCTGAAAATAACTGATTCTGGACCAGAGAAACCCGTCGTGGATTGCAATAGCTTCGGACTACGTTGTTTAGGTCAATAGATACCTGTTATCGTGTCTTTTTTGCATGGTACATACAGACACAGATATACATTGCAGACCTTTATCAATTTCAGCAGCGCCCTCGCGTTTAAACCAATCTTAGTGCTCACTACAGCTCAACAATGTTCTAAGAAAATCTCATTTCGCGTCACATCAAAGCGAACTTTTGTCCAAGCGTCGCTCACCAGATCAGGAAACATTCGTCTCCACTCGCCCTTTTCCGTCCTCTGACGGAATAACACGAGTGGGTCACGGACGATCGGGGAACTGAAGTCGGAATGTGTTTTCAATCTCGTATTCGTCCTCGCAACTTTCCACAATCTACAGCAAGAAGTCTCGTCCTCCATTCGTGACCAACTCGTGTGATTCCGGGACAAGCCGATTGCGCGACCCTGGCCCCTTCGTGGCCGCGTTTGCTACAGGGTCAAAGCGGTAACTGGCATAACTAAAATATTTGTCAACTCGTGGGACTATTTAGCGTAATGATTTACGTATATTTCTCCTCACAAGTAGTATATATTGCAGATGCTATTTATAACGCAACGGACTTGACTTGGTATGCAGTATAATTGAACACAGTTCACTGGATCTTGGCTTTATTTTCACGCATGTTAATTAATTAAAGAAGACCTCCTCCGTGGTGTAGTGGTTAGAGCGTCCGCCCGGAGTGCGGAAGTTCGCGGGTTCGATCCCCGACCGCGTCATACCAAAAGACGTTAAAATATGGTACTTGTTGGTTCCTGCCTGGCGCTCGGCATTAATGGGTACAACAAGGACTGGTCGGCTTGGAGTCAGTATAATGTGTCTGAGTGGGGTATTCATGCTTCACTGCGGCATGGTATCTCAGTGGGCTAGCACTTTAAAACCAGCTTCAGTCTGGGCTAGTACAAGCAGCCGCACATACACATACACACGCATGCACGTCGTCATATGAGCGAAATATTCTCAAGCACGACGTTAAACCCAATTCCACCACCAAATAATATAAGACTGCTGCTCTGTACTTAAAACAGATTCAATTGCTTCAAATATATACTGAGGGAGACAAATAAGGAAACACCACTTCATCGCCGTGTTCCTTTATCTATTCTCAGATTTTCACCCATAGTACGATACAAAACTTGAAAAGAATACAGTAACTCTTGTACTTTCATGTGTTCCCTTATTTGTTTCCCTCAGTATATATTTGAAAGCACTGATCCACACGATGGTACGCAATGAGCTATACGGGAGAATATACTTAAATGTTGTAGGTATATGTTTAGAAATAATTCACCACACATCAAGAATATGATATTCCGCTATATTTTTACAGTACTTAGTTCATAAGTTTGTGTATTGTTAACGCTCACCATGAAAGGGCAGATTCAGGTATGAAATCGGATCGTCACGGTTTCAGTGAGTGAGCGAGTTGGGTTTAACGCCATTTTGAACAGTATTCAAGTTTTATCATGGCATTTCACCAGAATATGACTGTTCCAACCTCTTACAGGATTGGAAGCAAACCTTTTCAGTACAAGTCGGTGAAGGTGGACATTTTTCAATTGGGCGAGACAAGCCGTGGCACCAGAACTTCATCTCACAAACCAAATATCCCACCATAACACATTTAAAAGGTTACTCCGTGTACTTTATGAGAATGGTGTTATAATTTAGGTTCGTATTACTTTCGCGTGGAATCCGAAACTTCATGAAATTACCCTGAATGTGACCGCTGGTCACGCAGTGTAATAACACATTCTAGTCCACAAAAATGGGTCGCTGACAGTACAGACGCTGACCTATTCGAAATGTCTGTGAAGAGATAAGCAGTAAAATATTTATTTTTTCAAAATACACTTTTTAGTTAGGACACTCAGTACGTCAAGCGTACAATCAATTTGATGACAAACTATTAGTTGTGGCCTGGAACATCAGCAATTTAATACCAAAACGCACGCACGCACGCACGCACGCGTACAAATACGCACTACGCACACACACAAACATATACGCCCCAGAACCACCCCAACCTCTATTCGAATACCAAACGGCTGAGCCTTCATTGTTAGAGATGTATTCTCTTCCAAAATCCCTAAAGGGTCTCCTAATAACAAGTTTGATAATAATCACCAAAATATAACCGAAAGGCAACATCATCATCATCATCACAACGACTTATCTTGGCGAGCTTTCTAACTCACCTCATGTTTGTAACCAAGGCACTCTCTCGGACTGCAACACAGATCCCTGAATTCTGGCACGACTGCTTCTGGCTGTCCGATTCCAATCCATGGGCAGAATGGAAACTTTTCCCATCATCGTCTTTAAGCATTCGTGTGTCATCCATCCGTTGATTATACAAATCACACATACATTCCCTCTCAGTGCTCGTTATCACAGATTCGCTATTGGGAACAGATGATATATTTGGAACAGACGAATAGAGTCGAGCGGTACTGGCCTCGTTTTGAACCTCGTTCTTACTCTCGTTATCATTTGTCTTATGAGTGTCCGATATCCGGTTACCGTTATTTTGAGATAATTCATTGATTTCGGTACTTCGTGAATCATAATTTGTTGATATGTCAGCTCTGCGATATGACTCCGTGACGTCATTGTGAGATTTGTGACGTCTGAGGTCATTGCATCGGCATCCATTTCGAACCTGGCCGCCATCTTGAAGAGGTTCACTTTCAATATTTTTTATCAAGAAATCCCTGAAAATATACGCAGTTTGTGTTGTTATCTTTTGAATAGGTTTACATTTGGTAATTCCATGTTCGAAATTACAAACTTGAAAATAACGTACTTGCCCAAGTTAACGAAACAACATAAAAGAAACAATTCTAGACTTGCCAAAAGAGTTTAGACTTTAGTCGGACTTCCTTTTCAATGTATTCTTTTGGATCTGGGTAACCGACCAGTAGCAGTTTCCAAATAACACAACTGCTTCCAGGAGTTGAAATTTGATGAATAGAATGTTGAGTTACACCACCGTCAGCTAACCAGCTAACAAAACGCATGTCAGGGTGGGTACAAGCTGAGGTTATCGGCTCAATATAACGAATGGTCCGAGTGTAGCCGCATTCTTTGAAGGTTTGAGAGTAGCTGTATACGTATTGGGTTCGAGAGTAACCGTAATCACGGCAGGTTAGTCAGTAGACGTATTTATGGAAGGTTCGAGAGTAGACGTATTTATGGAAGGTTCGAGAGTAGACGTATTCATGGAAGGTTCGAGAGTACCACGTTACCTGCTATGAAGCGTCTCTTTCATCTTGAAGGCTAGGACGAGGAAGACAATGACGTTGACGAAGAAGGTGACGATGGCGGGAATGATGTAGGGGAAGCGCGTGAAGAATCCAGGGGAGAATGTTTCTGGGTATTTCACCACCGGGGATGCTAGGTAACCTGGCAAGATGAGTGAGTGAGTGAGTGAATGGTGTTCGGTACCAAAGTACCATATCACTAATCACAATGATGAATGTTTCTACGTCTATGCAATATATGCCTAACATCATATACTCAATATGATGTGAATATTTGAACTATTGCATATATGTGCACCCAGTCTCATTACAAAACAAATACCTTTATATATGCATGATCCCTCACTCATTCTGTTCCGCTTACATTTTCTTCCTGCTTTGAAACATCCTCGTTATAATGCGACTCTGGGTGTGATATAACGCATGATATGATTCTGACAGCACAATCATGGTCATTTGTAAAAAACTGTTTACGCAAAAGGCCGCACAGTCACAAACTGTTAACTAGAATAATCAGCCCCATGGTTTGATTCACCCCCAACACTGACTTACCCCCTGTAGCTGGACCAAGTATGATCCCTGCCCCCCAGGCCAGGCTGATCATGGACATTCCCATTGCCTGGTTAGTGTTGTCTGACACCTCGTACAGGACGGTCTTGGCCGTGCCCAGGATTCCTGTAGATAATAAGAGAGACTTCTCAAATCTATAAACACACGTGACACTTCTCAAATCTATAAACACACGAGACACTTCTCAAATCTATAAACACACGAGACACTTCTCAAGTCTCATCCTGCCATTCACTATCCTGGTGATCGTTTCAGGATACTATCTATATAGTAGTGGTGGTCAGATTAAATGAAATAATCGAAGACTGGTCGTAGTGACTAATCGACCAAGCAATCGATCACGATTTCTCATAATCAAACACAACAATTTTGGAACACTTGTTTTCATTAAGAATATTTTTCACATGGTTGGTTTTGTCTGTTATATTTCGTAAGAACTACAAGCTTGTTCCAAGTCGTGATTGAATTTATCTTAAAGATTCCAAGAAACTTATGTTCCTAACATACTAGTCATCCTTTAAAGATGTGAAATTTTGCCAAAAGAACACCTTGTTTTTTCCTTATTTTTATGTGCAATAACAAATTGCATAAATGACGCTAACCAATTTTTTGCGATGATTGATCGGTAGTAATGAACCAATCATCAATTATGAGATTTTAACCAATTCCCAACACTACTATATAGTAGTGGATGAACCTTTGATCTAATGAACATTTAGGTGAAGTTATATCTCAGTAAATGTGCAAATGTCAAGTGAGTGAGTGAGTTTAGTTTTACGCCGCTTTTAGCAGGATTCCAGCAATATCACGACGGGGAACGCTAGAAATGGGCTTCACACATTGTACCCATTTTGGAATCGAACCAGGGTCTGCGGCGTGACGAGCGGACACTTTAACCACTAGGCTACCCCACCACCCCTACAGTTTAGATGACTATGATGGCCACGTAATTATGGAACTGAAATAATATTTGAAGTGTTTGTTTTCGCTGACAAACAATCAGAACAACGTGCCTCTTTACATCAGACGTGAAGTAGTGAATGTGATTATAGGATTTCATGCCGCTTTCAACAGAAACCTTTTTGGCCATACCAGCAAACACGGTGAGTTTAACTCTGAACTGACCTAAATTTATCACCAAGTTATCAACAATAAAGTTTATATCAAGAACTGAGGCAACCAATTGATTCCAATCTTGAGCTGGACTCTTTTTCTATATACTAGTATTCTCTAAGCTCTGGGCCAAAGGCAATGCTACCCAACATCCACATTTCGACCACCCTTCTCGTCCTTAAAGCTTCCCTGGATATGAAAGATTCAAGGTAAAGTTGAATCTCTCTCTTGTCTCAGTGCCTGATACATATCCGAGTATGAAGCTGTGTGACAAGCCTCTGCCGAACTCACCACTGAACAGTCCTGTGAAGAACCTAGCAGCAATGGCCATGGCGAGATTCTGCGTGAACCCGAACAGGAGCGAGAATACACCACTGCCACCTAGCGTCAACAGTAGCACCAACTTCCGGCCCTTCCTATCTGAAAGCCATCCCCAGAAGTAGCTGAATCAGACAAAAGAAAGAAGCCATTTTATTACATTTTCTTCTTCTTTTCGACATGCAAGTAGTCCTTGACCGATGCGACGAAGTGAAATGTTACAGTTCAAATTTGAAACTGAAATCAAACCATATCGCCATGTATTGTAAAATGTTCTTTGTTCAGCCAATCAGATGATTGCTTGTCGTATTAATACACGTATTCATCCATCCATCCATCCATATACATACATACATACATACATACATACATACATACATACATACATACATACATACATACATACATACATACATACATACATACATACATACATACATACATACATACATACATACATAGATTTGTATAGCGCCGACTTTTTACGTCTGTATCATGTTTAACGCTGCACTCGAATCTAGATCAGACAATTATGTGACGGACATAATGAGCACTGATCTACGCAGTTGAAGGCCTTTCTTAGATAACAAAAATATATTTGCAATTCCGGGGTAATCAGGTCTGTTATTGAAGGGTACCCGGAAGTATGTACATACCTGCCCGCAGCTCGACCGGCGAACACGGAGGAGGCCACCAGCCCAGCATAGTATCCCTTCTCTTCCTCGCTGTATCCGAAGCCCTGAAAAGAATTTACGTTATATAACTGAAAAGACTTGGTTATCAAAATTAAACTAGGTGAAGTACATCTCAACCTCCTCCTCAGAGTAAAGACTTCACATTCCACTTACACACCCTTTACACTCCACCCGCCCCTACATACTTCACCCCATCCCCCTTCCGTCCACACACACAAGCACATTTCACCCCAAATACCTCCTGCTTACATGTACAGTAGATTACTCAACGTGAGAGTAAGGACTTCACACTTCACTCCCCAATCCCTAACACTCCAACCACCTCTCCATACTTCACCCACCTCACTACGCTTCACACAACTTACGGGGGCGTTGGTGTAGGCTAGGGGTTAAAGCATTCGCCTGTCACGTCGAATACCCGGGTTCGATTCCCCACATGGGTGCATTGTTTGAAGCCCACTTCTGGTGTCCCCCGCTGTGACATTGCTAGAGTATTGCTAAAAGCGGCTTAAAGCCATAGTCACTCATTCCAATTACCTGCTTCCATGTACAGTAGGCTACTCAACTTACCAGGATCATCTCTGGGAGGAAGGGGAACAGGAATGTCAGGGTAAAGGCGCTGGCGAACTGAAACAAACTACACAAATATAATTACATGACGTTTGTAATCAGAATCTTGCTGAAGGTTCACGCACTGAGAACATAAACCAAATCCCAGATCTAGACTCCCAGCATTCTAGGCTTGAATGAGTACCCAGTGCACTACGCTCACAGCTGGAGCCCTTGGGCCCGATGCACAAAGCGATCTTAGTACCACCGTGGTCCTATGTTAAAGTATTGGAGTTGCGAACACCTTAACACCAAGATCACTTAGTACAACTGGGCCATCAACATTCCAATACAATATTGGACGTGCGTTTCTCAAACACCATGCATATGTCGATGCACGATATATATACAAATCAGAAAAAAAATACTTCGGTGAAATATATACATAGTATTCTCACTTTTTCATCATCATCATCATCATCATCATCATCATCGTCATCATCATCCATTTACGCACTCCACTGATCCAGATACTCCGATCTACTCAAACACGGTTTAATTGTTTCCCGAGTAGTGGATCTGTAAGCATTCCAATTATCTTTCCCAACTCCCTGGGGAATGTACTATCCAACCTGCTCGCGGGCGCTGGAGTTTATACATCTACCTAACATGTGGAAATCCCAAACCCTGCTGGTCGAATAGAGGCACATGTGAACTGACAGGTTTGGGTCATTTTAATTCGATAACTTTTCAAATCACCTTTCCAGATTACAAGAAACTTAAACATACGATGGGCATGATCATTGAAAAAGAGAACGTCATAATCAAAGTCCCACCAGTGCAAGGAACATGAGGCCGATGACGGGCCAGTTGGGAGGCGTCACTCCATCTCCTGAGAATAAGAGCTTGTTTTTGATTCGCCGACATAGTCGTGACGTCATGGGCCGACTTCCGGTAAGATCGCCAACGCTTCCCATTGTTGCCCTCTGATTGGTGAACAAGACATCCTAGTTGATCCCTTCGCCTCTGAAACAAGCCGCCATGAATTAGTTAATTGTGTGAACAAATACCTGAAGCTGTAATTACATGGACCCTAGTTGATCACTGGATTGTCTGGTCCAGACTCGATTGTTTTTACAGACAGCCGCCATATAGCTGAATTGCTTAATTATAGTGAGTGAGGTGTGGTGGGGAAAATTTGTGTAAAGTATTGAAAATCAAAATGAAATTGTAGTTATGATAAGGTAGATATGGCTTCGTCTTGAAAAAAGACACACACACACACATTCTGATCAGGCCCCACAGCTTTCATGGCTCTGGGTCCTTAGGGCCTGCAGCTTTTCAGGGTTAAAGGGCAACCACTGCATGAGCATCGATCAACGCAATTGGATATGACGCCATACATCAATCAAGTCAGCAAGTGTGACCACCCGATTTGTTATTCGCCTCTTACGACCAGTATAGCTAAACAACAAACCAAACAAAAAATATCTTTATACAAGCGAATAGTCGCGTTGTTTTGCCATGCCATAGTCTAATCATCAGCCTTGCAGTCAAGCACATATTCTAGTACAGTTCTAATAACCATTAGTCATGCAGTAGTGACACGGTATTGATCGATTTACAACGGGAGGCGACATATGTCGCCCTGTTGTCTGCTGGTACCGTGTTTGTTTCTGTGTGACTAACACTTTTTCCGCGAAACTTCGCGTGTACCAGTTTTGGGGTTTGGGGGGTGTTTTTTGTCTTCTGAGGCCTTTTTGTCAGCAACACACCTTTCTTCAGGTATGAAACCCAAAAGAATGGGAAGTGACACTATCTCGAGCAGACATGTATCGTATATTTGCATCGGGCCGTGGGGTAACCTAGTGGTTAAAGCGTCCTCTCGTCACGCCGAAGGACCGGGTTCGATTCCCTACCGGGTTCGACTTCTGTTCTGCCCCACAACGAAACACATGCAGTCAAGTGAGTTTGTTCAAAATTGCCTCTGTTAACCCCACAGAAAATGGGCACCCGGAGGGATATGTCATATGATTATTAATCTTCTGGTGCTTCACAGGCATCTTGGGTTATCCGAGGTAATAATGCCCATCATGCTGTATACGCTTAGAGCATTCCCGTGCGGCGTGGAGCGTATAAACGGCCTATCAGTATCAGTACCCTCGACATGGCCCGTGAAGATCCGGGTTAGAATTGATCTTCAGTAACCCATGCTTGTCGTAAGATGCGACTAACGGGATCGGATTGATGCTCATGATGTTGATCACTGGATTGTCTGGTCCAGACTCGATTATTTACAGACCGCCGCCATATAGCTGGAACATTGCTGAGTGCGGCGTAAAACTAAACTCACCCACTCACTCACTGTATATCGAAATACGTTTTTGTATAACACAGTGATTATTATTATTGCATTATGTATGTATGTGTATGTATGAACGTGCGCTGAATTAATCGTAGATAGGTGCTGCTCAGTCTAGAAAACTAACAACCATATTTTAGCATGTATTTACTCGACTTATCGTTCATGTTTCCTATTTGGTTTTGGTTTTGGAGACGGCTGATATCAATACGGCATCCCAGGTGCTGTCACACATTGCCATGACATATCTTGTAGCTGATCATGCTGCATTGTCTTAGTGAGTGAGTTTAGTTAGCACTCAGCAAAATTTCAGCTATATGGCGGCGGTCTGTAAATAATCGTGTCTGGACCAGACAACCCATTGATCAACAGCATGAGCATCAATCTGCGCAATTGGGAACCGATGACATGTGTCAACCAAGTCAGCGAGCCTGACCCCCGATCCCGTTAGTCTCCTCTTACCACAAGTATGGGTTACTGTACATTCTAGCCCGTACGTTCACAGGTTGCGTTGTCTTAGCAGAGATGTTTAATGATTATGGAATATACGTCGTAGCAATATCACGCATGGCATATATGGAGATTATTACACAGGTTTTATTTTGTAAGTTTGACTGCGAAGTCCATCCATGGTACGACCCTTAACCCTCGCTCGGGCAATAATAATAATGAGTATTTATTCAGCGCTGTATCCATCCACAAGGTGCAAATACAAAATTTCACACTCGTTTCGTATAAGTCACACTTGCGAGTCTAATAATTTCTTAATTATCCATTTTATTCATATACATTTGTGCAGTAAAACACGTTAAAAGCAAGTGTGACGGCCCTGTTCATTGACGTCACGTTCAATTGTTTAATGGCGCCACAGACGAAATACAGAGACAATGGTTGCTAGGCAAAAGTGATATGTGCACATGTGCACATATGATATATATGACACTGGTTATCTCACCATATTGATAATAAGTGGTTTTATGTACAAGGAACATACACGAGGAGACAAACAAAGAACACATATTTATAAAAATAAACAGTTAATCTTTTGTTTGTTTGCTTGAACGCCGCACTAAGCAATAGTCCAGCTACAGAGTCGTGCCAAAAGTAGTCGGCACTTGACGTAATTTCCATATACTTACATGTTAATTTAGTGTAGCATAAATAATTTAAATGAATTTAATTTTCGTAACATCCAAGTCAAATTTTGCACATTGGTGAGGAATCACTTTACCTACAATCGTTTAATTTCTGTTTAATTTTCCGTTGCTTATTTATCGAATGGTAACATTTTAATCAACACGTGTACAGTGCCGTGAACTCCTTTAACATGGCGGCCTATGGGATTGTGCATTGTGGAACCGTACGTAAGTTGATAAATGTGATGTCATTAGTTAAATAGAGGTCGGAAAATAAATTGAACTGACATTATGTGCGCAGAGCAGAGATGATTTCAAATTTGCCTGTCAAATTTACAAAGATCCATCCAAAACTCACTTCATGAAAATTATTTATGCTACACTGAAATAACATGTAAGTCTATGGAACTTACGTCAAGTGCCAAATACTTTTGGCACGACTGTATATAGCAGCGGTGTGTATATAATGGAGCCTGGACCAGACAATCCAGTGATCAACATCATGAGCATCGATCTACGTAGTTGGGATACGATGACATGTGTCAACCAAGTCAGCGGGCCTGACAACCCGATCCCGTTAGTCGCCTCTTACGACAAGCATGGGTTGCTAAAGATCAATTCTAGTCTTCACGGGTAAGGATACTTGGAACATATTACACCACGACTCTGGGACACTGTATTGGGAACATATTCTTCATAGGAGGAAAATTCGAACGGGGATATTGAATACACAAAGAAAAAAGTTGTTATGCAACAAAGCATGCACTCCAACACCTTCCTGTTGAACATGGACACACTACTACTACCACGAAGCAGTTAACACCAAAATAAAACACTACCAACCTGCAAGGTGGAAATCTAACAAACAGCACAAACTATCATTCTTTTGGCACAGCATCTGTGCAGTCAACAATAAAACACTGCAAGTGGTTGCTGAAGCACAATGAAACATGACGAAACACCGGGAACATATGGCACATTGTGAAACTTACCACCCAGCTCCATGTCTGAACACACTTTTATACTAAATGCATTAACACTGGTATTCCACACGACAGCACGATACCGTAAAGCCTTGATTAAACGCTTGGGTGGCTATTAGAAGTCATTTCAGAGATGAAGTATGCCAGGCGCCTATATGTTAATGTTCAGAACGTGCGGCTATTTTATAATTGTGTAAATACCTTCATGAACATGGTGCGTGTAATTTAAATGAAAATTGTGTGATTTGCATTTTGTATGATAACGGTCTTATTTTCTTTGAGAGGCATTTTAGAAGTTGTGAAGATGAAGGAAAACGAGTGCGACGTTTCGGTGTAGGTACTAACACCGTTATCTCGCTTATGCTTGTTTTTTAATTGTGCTATGTATTTGAAATAGTGTTGTGTATGAAGGATAAAACTGTACCAGTGCGAAAAAGAAATCAAGTGAACCCCCCCCCCCAAAAAAAAACAACAACACCGTTATCAAGCAAGTGATACAACAAGTTGAAACAAGGAGAATATATACATTGCTGCATAGTGAGAATATACAAATAAAAAAGGTTGATGTACATTGGATATTTGATAAGTGATTACAGCAGAGGAGGTTGATGTACAGAGTGACTGATTGTGATTAGAGTTGAGTTTATACAATTGATGAGTTGACGTACAATAGTTGTGATTACAAGCACAAAGGAGAGAGCATGGAAGCCAGATGGACAAAGGAGGTATGGAAGAATTACTGGTGGTGGTCTTTGATTAGGTGGTGATAGGCTGAGGAGATGAAACAACCTTGATCACGATTCATGGTGGGGTTGTGGCGTTGGATGTTTATAGCTTCAAGGAGTTTCCTAATTTTGTAGTCTTGTCGGTTGATTTCCAGGATATAGATGTTGTTCCATAGGATGGCATGGTCAGGGTTGGCTTGGGTGTGGGTCGGCTATGTGGAGTCGTTTTTCTGGACTGAAGCTTTCTGTTCTTTGATTCGTAGTGGGAGCGGGCGGGATGTTCCACCAATATAGAAGTCTCCGCATTGACAACGAATCTGGTAGACTACTCCCCAGGGGTCATCTTTTGTTGTTGACGGTGGTTTGCCTGTGGCTTGGAGGAGGTTCTGGATGGACTTGCTTTTCTGGAACAGGACGTCTATGCCTGCTTGCTGCTAAAGGAGTCGTCTTAGCTGGTGGCTGACTGCTGGGACCTACGGGACAGGGGTCTGTATGAGGCGAGCGTATATTGCAGGCGCATATTCAAGGAATGAGTCTATTTGACTCACGCATCTATTTTAGGCAGCCATCTATTCAAGGCAGGTGCCAATTCAAGGCAGGTGTCAATTCAAGGCAGACGTCTGTTCAAGGAAGGCGACGATTCAGTGCATGCATGTATTCAAGGGGAGGCGTTTATTCAATGCGGGTGTCAATTCGAGACATGCATTTTTTAGGGCATGCGTCTATTAAAGGGAGGCATCAATTCAAGGTAGGGTATCATGCCGGAAAGCACACGTAAAATCTCCAAATCATCATCATCATCATCATCAAGGTATGTTGT